AACACCAGCAAATTTTACCGTGAATTGTTTCTCGCCGCTGGGTCCGATGGTGTGTGCCGTCTTGTTCTGGTACTCTTTTTCGTGATCCCATTTCCATCGAGCATCGAGTGTTTTTTCTGGCCCCATTAGCATTGTGCCCATTTTGGTGTCGTTCGATTTTGTTGCCACATTGTTCATTTCTTGTTCGCACAGGCTCCCTGGTGACCAAATACTGTGCGTCCTCGATCGTCCTTTTAGGGACAAATTTAACGGCACATCCTCGTCTGCAACACACCAAAACCCGAACACAGGCTGAAGTTAAGCAACTCCACTTCCAGCAGGTTCATGCAGGCTCACCTATTTGGCTTTTTTCCATTCTGCTTTCGACTGATGATGGCGCCTGTTCGGGGCTGTGCTGCTCGAAACGTCGCACGCCTGCCCCATACGACAGGCAGAATCCGGGCAACAAATTGGGAAGGACGGGGAAGCCGCTGGGGAAAATCGGATAAGGAGTGAAGCGATTATTGGCGGAAATCATCGCCTCCATATCTGAAGCAACAGAAGAACGCCTGATGATCAAGGGAATTTTTTTTGGCTTCAACGGACTTACTTTTGCAAAACTCCCGATGTTCCCGGCGATATACCTGGGTGAAGGCACTTTGGCGGTAGGCAGGCACGTCACAGGCATGGGGCGAGGCTGGACTTAAACTCCTGCTGGACTCGCCCCTTGTGCTGCTTCCAGGGCTGGAACGGGGCGAGCGAGTAGGCGAGTCAAGTAGCAAAGGTGTGTCGAAGGGATGGCTTAACACTTTCACCCTTGGCATACTGAAAAAAAAAATTATTTAGTGAACTAACTTCAGATGAAGAACGAACCAAAGTCACTTTATAAAGCGCCAATTTGCAATCAGTTTAGATCAGGAAGGTACTGCTGTGGATTGTTGGTCCAGATATAAAAACATGCCCCAAAGAATACTGTTTTTGTTCATTAGTTCCACACTTTTTGCAATGTTTTCTTAATATTTTGGTGCGAGTTTATCAGCCAATTTTATTCTTCCTCCAGTGCCCGCTTCTATTTTGCTTCTGTCTGCAATTCGAATTTCTGTTGACACCCGCTCTTCACCAACAGACCGGCGGGTGACTGAACATAAATCAATTGATGGCCAGGAATCGTCAGCGGGGTGCTTAATTCCCTATTTACATTAAAACATCCTCATCGGAAACACGCAACGATTTCCTCTATTGATCGCCGAGATTGTCGATCTAATTGCTCTGCTTCTGATGACGAACGTGGAAGCCAAATGGACATTAGAGGCTCTGATTATATGACCCGAAACTCGAGCACGAAACACGCACATGTTGCCCATCATTTTCAATTTACCCCCCGTTCATGGGGTAAAAAACACGAAATCTCTTTCGAAAGTATGGAGGTTTTTTGCTCGCGGTGGTGGAAGTTAGAAGAGTTGTAAGGCAAGTGGCAGTTAGAACTGTTGGTTGATGCACATCTAGAGCTAAAATTCTCCAAAAATTGGGTTTCCTTTATTAAAAAGCTCGAAAATATTTTTCGAATGTGGGATAATGAGCTCAAGTTCAGAGAGTGGATGTATTCCAGTGGAAGTCGTTTGTTTGTCTTATTGAAAACTAATTGTTTCAAAGGTTTTTTAACGTTTTTCGTACTGGAAAGTTTCATATTTTAAGTCAAAAGGTTTGGATTATAATCGGCCAAATTAGAAAGAAAAACATGAAAGGCTGAAACAGGGACAGGCGAAATTGAAATGGCAAAGAAAATATTAAAAAGCCACTGAACGGTTTGTTGAACTTTCGCTTCCTCTTTATTCAATAATCCCAGAAGTACGTTTCTTCTCAATGTTTTAGTAGCTTTCCACAGCAAAAAGTTAAATAGTAAATTTTAAAAGGTTCAGTGTAGGTAACAATTGAAGACGTTTTAGCACTAGTTGCGTAACAGCAACCTCTATAAAGAACAAGCGAAAACTGTTAAAGAAAATCAACTTGGACCAAGTCTGGATCTGGATAAATTTTGATTGATGTGAACAATTGTATTTTTGCTCCAAGCGTCAGTTAGTGCAATTCTTTTCTGTTAGTTTGTATTTTTTCAAAAATTAAGTGGCTCAGAAAAATATACTACAGGGTGGTAAATGAAACAATGCAAAATTGGTAAACTTTCCGCGTGTTCTTAGTTGGACAAATAACTATATTTTGTCTTTCAACACCACAAGCATTAATGTCTCATATCTCTATAAACATTTTTGATTTTTGCGTGTTTTAAAAAATCGACTTTTTGGTCTTGCAGTGATAGATTTTTTTTCTCTTGAACCCATTTTCAAAAAGGATTGACGAACAGAAAACAAATGGGGCTCGAACACTCTTCAAACAGAGACCAAATCACTCTAAACAATCAGAATCTATGCAGTTCCAAAACAATGGCAAAATTGGTGTAAGTTCAAAGCAGTTAAGGCATAAAATGCATCTAATTTAAAACTCGAATAAAAATAATAATTTTTATTATTCATTTTCGTTCTCTGTGATCTTGTTCTGTGGACTTTCGTTGATGTTATAAGGACCATTTTGTGAGTGAGTTGGTTGTCGGTGTGCAGAAAAATGTTCTGAAATCATCAGTCGGGGT